CAGTGGTAGAGCACTCACCTAGCATGTGTGAGGCACTGGGTTGATCCTCAGTACCACATAAAAAATAAATAAATAGCTGGGTACGGTGGCCCATGCCTATAATCCCAGCAGCTCGGGAGGCTGAGGCAGGAAGATGGCAAGTTCAAAGCCAGCCTCAGAAACAGTGAGGCACTAAGCAACTCAGTGAGACCCTGTCTTTAAAGAAAATACAAAATAGGGCTGGGGATGTGGCTGAGTGGTTGAGTGCCCCTGAGTTCAATCCCCAGTACCTAAATAAATAAAAGGTATGGTGTCCATCTACAACTAAATATATATATATATATATATATATATATATATATATATATATTTTAAATTGATGGTATTTTTCTGGGTTTTTTAGTTATCTGTCCTCTGGTGCAGGCTGTGGGTATAACTTAGGTTTCCAAAGACACAGGTCTGAACTACATTCGGGAGCAGTGAGTGGGCTGGCCCCCAATTTTCACCCACTGCCTCTGGGACTAGCTGTCCCTGAGCCCACATACTTTACCTGTGAACATGAGAGCTGTGATGGTAGCAAATGCAAAGACCACCATCCCCAGAATGTTGAAGGTTAGACCAATCTCAGCCACCCAGCTGTCTGCCAGGCAGCACTGCAGGAGCCGCAGGCCCAGCAGGCTGGTGAGGTAGGGGAGGTGCTGAGCTGCAGAACCATAGCCAATCAGCTTGGAGTCCCAGCAGAGGGGTGTGCTCAACTCATAGATGGTCAGGATGTCCTGAGCCCCAAAGTGCACAGTGATCACCACGAAGAAAGCCAATGAGTATAGGGCTAAATGCTTCCTGGACTTCTCCGGGGCTGGAGACAGGTAGAGGTGGACGATGGATCTGTGGTGACGGAGGGTGAATAGCCGGGTGGACTTTGGCTCTTTCAAGGTCTCATCAAAGCAGAATGCTGCATATAGAGTCATGACTATTAGCAAGGCCAAGGCCAACCAGAAGGGGTTGGCATAACCCTGGGCCCGGAGCCAGTGACCCCCAAGGAGGCTTGCCAACATTCCAGCCACGCCAATGCACGCTTCCAGCAGAGCCATCCGGAAGGTGCGGCTGTGATTAGAGCTGACATCGGCTATGGAGGCAAAGCCAGCAGCCAAAAGCCCACTGAAGTCACCGAGGAGAGCACAAAGGATGCGGCCTAGCACAAAGTAGCCGACGTGGAGTTGCAGCTGCACCACAAAGATGGACACCACAGCTTGGAGCAGCAGGCCAAGTGAGGCCAACACCAGCAGAGGGCGGCGGCCCACCTGGTCACTCCAGGCTCCAAGCAACGTGGACGAGAAGAGATCCACCAGGAAACCGCCCACATTCATGTACAGGGTCCAGTGGGAGGTAAGGGTTTCCACTTCCTGCGGGAACACAATTACTAGGATATGACTCCTCACTGGTCGCCTACTGCCCCCAGCATTGCCATCCTGGGAGATACAGGGTTGAGAACTTTCTTTGGAGACCTAAACCTCAGAGAATCTTCATACAGTCTCAAAAACGGTCACCGTGGGGGACGATGGGACACGGAAACGGCCCCATTCCCCTGCCTTTACCCCTTTGTTAATTGCCCAAGACAGGTTTTCTCTGGATCAACAGCCCGCATCCCTTATGCTGCAATTCTAAGGCAGAACCCCTGTGCTCCGCCCCGCGCACCCTGCAATCGCAAACCCCGCCTCGGACGCCCCCCACCATCCCGCAGGCCCCGCCCCTCGGCAGCCCCCACGCTCCAGGCCAGGGCCCGCCCCCAGCCCTCCCCACCTTCCCGCAGGCCCCGCCCCTCGGCAGCCCCCACGCTCCAGGCCAGGGCCCGCCCCCAGCCCTCGCCACGCTGTTACCGTCATCCTGGGGTCCACGGTTTGGTTTCCACAGTGCCCACGGTCGCGAGTGCCATTGTAGCCGAGGTCGACGCTGAAGCGATGCCACAGATACTGCGTGGTGATCGGACTCTGCAGGACCAAGGCAAAGTTCCCCAGGAAGACGAGGGGCTCCACGGGGCCGCGGAACAGCACGGGCGCCGCGCGCCGGGTGCGGGATTCGCGCGGGGAGCTCGCTTGCCCCTCCATGCGCGTGCGCGTCGGGGGCTGGCTGGCTGCCGGCGGAGGGCTGGAGTGTGACTCCCGGGACCAGTGGCTGGAGGCCGGGGCCTGCGCTGTCTGCGCCTGCGCCCGCGTCCGCGTCCGGCGTTCTTTCTTAAAGTTAGGCGGGGCGGGGCGTAGTACTCAGACCCCAAACTCTTGCTGCGCGCGCTTTTGGCTGCGTGTGGCGGGCCACGAACTCAGCAGCCCTGGCCAGCAGGGTGACCTCACGCGTACTCTGGCAAGAATACCAGCCGGCAGCCCTCCCTCCTGGGCCCAGAAACACTTGTGACAATAACATCAATAATTAACATTTATTGAACACTTACTGTATGCAGGGCACAGTATTAAATCTTTTGCGTGTATTAATCTCCCAACGATGTAATAGGGTAGCCACACCTATTATCCACATCTACTGATGTGGAAGCAAGGTCACCTGGCACTCAGAGCTAGAGGAGCACGTAACTACTGATGCCAGTGCTGATGTTCTGCAGGACTGTACAGAGGCAACTCGGGATGGAGGCGTGGAGACTGAAACCAGCTGTCCCGGCTGGAATACGTGGGCTCTGCCACTGTCTCTGGCATACATACCACTTACCTCCCTGTGCCTGTTTCTTCGTCTGTAATAAAACCTGCCTCAAAGAGTTATTGGGAAAGAACCGTGTCTGATAAGTTGAGAGTGCTATTATTTTTAATAGTAGGCTGTCACTTGCCCCACTCTTGAGCTAGAATCCCTTCCTGCAAAACTAGACTTGTTTCTGGGGCTGGGGTCTGACTCTGCAATTCCCTTTAAGGAGCAGAGTGTGAGCAGAAGACAGTGGAGGGCTCCCTGGGTGTGGCCTTATTTTCTTGGGTGCTACCTCTGCAGGAACTGGGCCAGAAGGCAGTCACCTGGTCTGGGCCTCTGTTTTATTGCCCGTAAAAGGAAATAATAGGGCTGGAAGTATGGCCCACTGGTAGAATGCTTGCCTGGCATGCAGAGGCCCTGCGCTCCATCTCCAGTACCATAAATAAATAAATAAATAAATAAATAAATAAATAACCTGTTCCCTATCATTTATTTATTCACTCATTAAATGCATTTATCAAGCACCCTTATGAACCAGCCACCATACTGGGGGACTCTGGGAACATAATATTGAAGAAAATAGACAAAGTCCTCACTAGGCCTGGCAGTTTCTAGAATGGTAGGGGAGATATAATTGATGGAATTGATTTGTCTCACCAATTGACGTAAAACTGAAATCTAGGCAAATACTTAGTGGTGGGAGGCTCCAAGGGTGCTCATTCAGAGGCCTGGTCAGAATCAGGGAAGGCCTTCCCCTGACAACTAACAGGACAGCTGAATGCATGGTTGTCTGAAGGCAGGCCCTGCACCAGTTATGGCTCGAAGCACACCTGATTCTTGGGGTGGAAGGTGTGACTCCGTTTCTAACCACAGTGACCATGCGTGCCTGGGCTTTCGTGACTATCCTCATCTCTCCTGGGCCAGAGTCTGAGGCTCAGACTAAGTGGCTAGGTACTGATGCCCGCTACCTTCCATGGACTTCCAGACAATTCCACATGAAACATTCAAGTCTCTGGGTGCCTTTTGTCACCCCCACACACTTATTTAAATCTTGGTCTAGTGAGGTCAACTGAAGAGAGGAAGGGGCGCCTTAATTGCTGCATTAAGATGAACTGTTTCTCTGGCTTGGTGGGAAGGAGTCTTGTGGTCCACTAGCAATGTTTGCCATGGGTTCAGGGGTGGTAAGTCCTGGGCACTCAAAACTGTGTCGTGGGACTGGGGCTGTGGCTCAGCGGTAGAGTGCTTGCCTTGCACGTGTGAGGCCCTGGGTTCGATCCTCAGCACCACATAAAAATAAATAAACAAAATAAAGGTATTGTGTCCATGTACAACTAAAAAGATTAAAAACAAAACAAAACTCTGTTGTCTAAGCTGGGAGCAGTGGCGCAGGCCTGTAATCCCAGCGACTCAGCAGGCTGAGGCAGGAGGATTGAGAGTTCAAGGCCAGCCTCAGGAACAGTGAGGCACTAAGCAACTCTAAATAAAATACAAGATAGGGCTAGGGATGTTGAGTACTCCCTGAGTTCTACCCCTAGTATCCCAAAAAAACAAAATAAAAACCAACACCATGTTTTCTAATCCTGGATAGGTCAATAGGTGCTCAGTAAGCTTTGAGAGGCTTTGGGAAGTGCCTGGAAGCTTCTTCCTATAGGACACTGGAACAAGGAACATGGATTCCTCACTCTAATGGCAGCTTTGTCAGCCTGCACCCAGTCTGAGCTTTCTTTCCAGAAGTGGCCAATCAGAGCTTCCAGTTTCTGTTTTAGGATACAAAGAGGAAGAGAGGGGCATGCAGGAGGAAATGCCATTTCCTGCTTTGAGTTTTGCTTCTCATGTATCAGCCCTAAAAATCAAATCAGCATCCATTTCAGCATGGACTAAGGGTGTGTTCATAGCACTGAGTGGGAGTTACAACTATGTCCCTGTCACTGTGAGACTTTGGCCAAGTCCCTGTCTGACCTCAATTTGCTCATCTATGAAATAATTTCTGGTCTTGTATTTCCTTGTCTGTAAAAATAGAGCAATAATACCTACCTGTCGGGAGCTGCCACATAGGAGCCGAAAACCCTTAGCCCTGAGAGATGGAAATGTGGAGACTGGTTTCTGTTGTGTGAGGGAAACAGGTGGATCCCATCTGTGCTGCAGGGGAGTAAGGCTTTGGGAGTGGGTGTTACCCAGTGGGAGTGGGCTGCCTTCTTGTTCCTTTGTAATACTACCCCTGACCTTTTATGGATGGAATGTTCTATCCAGCAGCTCCCCTCAATAAATAGGGCTTCAGGACACGCCCTCACTCTCTCTCCAGCCTCCAGTGTTTTTCCCTTCACTCCCTTGTGGGAGCTTAGAGCTGGAGGTGGAGAAGCTGCCCTGAATGGCCCCGAAAAAGGTATTTTCTGTGTGATTCATTTGTGCCAGCCCAATTCACCCGAGTGACCCTGGTTTCATAATCTGTTCTGGACAGGGGCTACACCTACCCACAGGGTGGCTGTTAACATCAAATGAAAAATATGTGTAGCTGGGAGCTGCATGTGGTGGTGTCCAGGTGCCAGAGATGGTGGTTGCTATTGAACTGTGCCTGTGGTGAGGAGAGATTTCACCACAAAGAAGCCAGGCTGTCCTGGGTGAGAGGAACAGCTGGGCCTCAGAGAAATGCTTTCCAGAATCCAGAAGCACACAGGGATAGAGGTACACTCCCATGCATGTACTCCTTAGGGGGGCTTCCCTGAGTTGCTTAGCATCTTGCTTTTGCTGAGGCTGGCTTTGAACTCACGATCCTCCTGCCTCAGACTTCCAAGTCACTGGGATTCAGGAGTGCACCACCATACCTGGCTTTACTGCATTTTGAACAATGTAGAATCTTAAAATCATTTAACTTCATTAAGCACCTGCTGCCTTTTGTGCTTTTGCTCTCTTACATTTTACTTCCATGTGTTTTTTTTATACCTTTATTTTTTATTTATTTTTATGTGGTGCTGAGGCTCGAACACAGGGCCTCTCACGTGCTAGACGAGCGCTCTACCACTGAGCCACAATCCCAGTGTATTTTGAATCCCATGTTATAATTATTGCTGGTTTAAAGTGCTGATATTTATCTACCTATTTTCTTTATTCAGTGCTCTTTATTCTTCTCTTCTATGCTACCATCTTCCTTTGGCCTAAAGAGTGAATTCCTTTTTCTTTTTCTTATGGTGTGGATCTTCTGGCAACACAGTCTCTTGGCTTCTGTTTGCAAATATTTCTATTTCACTTTCACTTTGAAGGATATTATTCCTGGGTGTGAAGCTCAGTTTTTATTTTTTTCATCCCTTTGACAAAGTCATTCCATTGTCTTCTGGCTTTCATTTTTCTCATGTCATCTCCTGTCAAGGATTGTAAGCCCTTAAGCCATGTCAATGCTTTTAATTTTTAATTGGGGTACTATCTTAATCATATTTATTTATTTATTTATTCATTTATTTATTTATTTTAATGATCCTAGGGATTGAGTCCAGGGCCTCATGCATGCTAGGCAAATGCGTTCCTAGTTTTATGCTTTTTTTTTTTTTTTTTTTTTGTACTAGGGATTGAATCCAAGGGGCGCTTTACTACAGAGCTACATCCCCAGACTTTTTTATTCTTAGTTTTAAAATTTTGAGACAGCATCTCACTAAGTTGCTTAGGGCCTTGCTAAGTTGCTGATGCTGGCCTCAAAGTTGCAATCTTCCTGCCCCACCCTCCCAAGTCAGTGGGATTACAAGTGTGCCCCACTGTGCCTGACAAATATATATGTCTTTAAAAGCATAGGGCTAGCCAGGTGTGGTGGTGCACACTTGAAATTCCAGCAACTCACAATTTCAAGGCCAACCTGGGTAACTTATTGAGACCCTGTCTCAGAATTTTTAAAAATGGGAGGGGGTACTGGGGATGTAGCTCAGTGATAGAGCATTTGAACATATGCCCAAGGCCCTGGGTTCGATTCCTAATGCTGAAAAAATAAGTAAATGATGAAAACACCTGTTCTGCCTCAGGTGGCAAAAATCAGCTTCATATCCTTGGAGTTCTGAGTGTATCATTAGGAGCTGACTATGGAGCCAGGCCTCACCGAGTGCATTACGTGTCTATTATCTAATTGGATCCTTACCACAATTTAGGAGGTAAGTCTGACTACCCACTTTTCTAGTTAATGCAGCTGTGACTAGAGGAATTAAGGGAAATGGTCCCTGTCACGCTGGGCACAGGTTTTATTCTCCCTACACTCTCCTTGTGCATTCTGTATTCCAAGCCTTAATATGTGTTAATCCTTGTACTAGCCTTAAGAAAAGGGGGACAGTAAAACACGAGTCCTTGAATACCCTCTTTCTGTTTCCAAAAACCTGGCCAAATTAAAGGAACAACGAGAGCAAGCCTGGGCTGAAATGCCCACATACATATTACCTTGAAGGACCCTAGCTTTCTCTTATATGCACTGGGAACTGGGGCAAGTTAGTGTTCTCTGTAGAAAGCTACTTTCTTGCAGGAACAGCAGTTGCTCCTTGGGATGCTGGTCACCCAAGCAAACTAAGCAAGCTCATGCTGATGATGTCACTGCTTCTGTAGCCTAACAGATCAAACCCCTCTGTCAGTGGTGACTGGAGCAGAACTGAAGGCACTGTGGAAAGAATACGTGTCACCTACGCAGCCAGCTTCCTCTGGACAAAATGCAGGGAGGGAGAGGAGTCTTTGCTTGATGAAGCATCTCAAGGGATGGAGGAGATATTAGTTCAGCCTATGGCCACTGAACTCTTCTTGGAACATCACTGATCTCTTGTATGCTTTCTCCAATAAATGAAATGTCTCCCATTATGATCAGATTATATCCCAATAAACCCATCAGAAATAGAAAATATCATAAGCCAAAAATGTGGTGATATGCCTAAACTAGAAAACATCACAGCTTCGTGTAGCTTACCTTAAACATGCTCATAATTCTTACATTATCATGCAGTTGGGTACAATCACCTTACCAAAAATCTGTGTTGTAGGGGCTAGGGATATAGTTCAGTTGGTAGAGTGCTTGCTTTGTATGCACGAGGCTGTGGGTTCAATCCCCCGCCCAAAAAAACACCACACCTGTCGTAATAGACACTTGCGTGTTTCCTTTTATTTCTTGAATACTGTGTGGATGCTGCAGAGTATCCATTGTTTATCCCCATGATCATGGGGCTGGCTGGGAGCTGTGGCCAGCTGCTTCTGCCCTGCATCATGGGGGAATGTTGTGCTGCATTTCACTCTCTTGGGAAGAGATCAAAATTCAAAGTTTAATTTTTAATGAGTGCATACTGCCTTCACACCATTGTAAAGTTGATAAATGGTAAGTTGAACCCTCATGAATCAGGGACCATCTGTATATTGATTTTGAAATCATGTGTGAATAGCACAGTTAAGTAGTATTATATTGTGTGTCAAAATGTGTTAATTTATTAAATGTAAATATTTAAAATATATTATAGAGGGCTGGGGATGTGGCTCAAGCATTAGCACGCTTGCCTGGCATATGCAGGGCGCTAGGTTCGATCCTCAGCTCCACATAAAAATAAAATAAAGATGTTGTGTCCACCAAAAACTAAAAAATAAATATTAAAAAACTCTCTCTCTCAAAATAAATAAATAAATAATAAAATATATTATAGAAACCTGCCTTGGCAAGTCTTCATTTTTAATTTGTCTGGATTCTCAAATAAGAGAAGAAGCTGAGAGCCTCTTGACCTTGGGAGACCCTCAGGAATGCCTCATGGCTGATCCAGGTGATGTCTCTAAGGAATCCCATTTGGATCTCACTGAATTTGAGATGCCTGTGTGCCATCCTGGTGGAGGGGCTCCAATGGGCAGCTGTGCCCAGAGCTCATGGGGAAGGGTGGGCAGGAGTCAACTGCATCTGTGTGGCACAGGTAAGGGATTGCACAGAGCATGCTATGAGGAGATGAAAAGTGATGAGGAGCCTGGGCAGGGGTCTGACTCAGGACAGACATGGGGAAGGGGCAGGCAGAGAGGGCAGGTAAGTAGGTGTGATCTCCATGGCCTGTGTAATCTCCTGGAGCATATCTGAGGCTGAAATCTGGTCAGGGGCAGAGAGAAGGCCAAGGACTCAACCTGGCCCCACCCTGGCTGGTCAGGTGGATGACTGCTGCAGATGCACGCTCCAGGCCTTAACCTGTCCAGGCGGCCAGGGCCTTTTATGGTCCGAGCACGGACCCTTTTGCATGTATAAACCTGTTGGAAGCTAAGCTGGGACATCTAACACCCCAGGCTGTCCCATGGTGCCTTCTCCATTTTTAGCTTTATTGTGACATTTGGGGGACAGTTGCTCTTATTTTGTCTCACTGAGTGGCAAATACACTTCAGTTAAAGATAGAAAATCATCAGGCACCTGAAAGCCACGGATGCAGGCCACAGGTGGGTTGGTCATGGCACTAAGGGTGGGGGATGGGGAGTCCAGTGGTGAAGAAAAGGAGATTTTAAGGAACATTTAGGAATGATGTAACTGTGCCTCAAAGAGGGGGTCTAAACTAGGAAGACATGGGAGGTCTCTAAAGTGACAAATGAAGGATCAGGAACATCTACCTGGAGCACAGGACTGCTGGGACGAACTGGGACAAAGATGACAGAACATGCATGGGGGTTTCTCATGAGATTCCTAATTCTTGACCTTGTTTGTGATTATATCAGCCACTGTGGGCATCTGGCCCTCCTTACCCCACCGCTCACTGTGTCCCTCTCCCTCCAGGGTCTCTACAGCCTAGTGAAGTATGACCCTCAGTGTGTGGATGGTGCATCCTCAGAGAGAAGAAGACGAGTCTCTCACATTCAAAGCACATTATGTCACATGAACTGATACGGTCACCCCCACAACACACTTTTTCTTTTCTCATGGTACTCAGGATTGAACCCTACTCTAATAATGAGTTGCATCCTCAGCCCTTTTTCTTTGGACACAGAGTCTGGCTAAGTTGTAGAGACTGGCCTCAAACTAGCTATCCTCTTGCCTCGGTCTCCCAGTCATGGGATTACAGGCATGCACCTCCATGCTCAGCAATTATGCCCTTTCTTTTTGAATGTGCCTGAGTCTCCTTTCAGATATATATATATATATATATATGTGTGTGTGTGTGTGTGTGTGTGTGTGTGTATCTGACCTGTCCTCTGTAATTCCCCATTTTAAAAATGCATATTTAATCACCTTTTGAATGCACATTTTCTTTACTTCCTTGTTTTCTCTAAGAATACACTTGAATCACATTCCAAATATATAGTCCGAGTGTGTTCATTGTGAGGTACAAGGACCTCTCTTTACTGTGGATCCTAAAACAGATCTGCAAGATGGTAGTGGTAAAGAGAGAGCCCGTGTGACCCCCATGAATCACAGAGAACCATAACGTGGTGTGAGCTGCATCCAGCCTCTCTAGAGTGGGATCTCCTCTGTTTCCTGAATGCCTATTTTTTGTAGGAAAACTATCAAAGTCATATTCCAAAACATAAATTAATAATAATGACAAAGAAATGTTGCTGATCCAAGTGCTATAGTAAGAACAAAACTAGCTAATGGTTAATGAACAGTTACCAAGTGCTAAGCACAGAAATAGCTCAACTCACCTTATAGAACCTTATGTACAAGCTGGTTATTGTTACTCCCATTGATAAAGGAAACAGAAGCTTAAGGAGGGTGAGTGGCTTATCAATGATGCTGTGGCCAATTTAGGGTCAAAGTCGAGACTGGAACTCCTACCTGTCTGCTTCTAAAGCCAGACTTCTCCTGTCCTCTGATGCCCCCGGACATGCAGAGCTCTGGGTGGACTGCCAGGTCATTACAAAATCCTTCCTCCAGCAAGAAACTAGTGTTCACTTTTCTCTTGAAGATTTTAAAGAAAAGTTCTTACAACCCCATCGACATTTACACCATAATGTCTTGTTCTGTCTTCTACAAAATCCCTGTTGAAAATTCAGCAAGTCTTTATTCTCAACCTGGAAATAAATTTCTCCTGTCTCCTAAGACAAGAGAACAAGAAATGGGTAGTAAGAAATGACTCTAGAGGGCTGGAGATGTGGCTTAAGCAGTAGCACGCTTGCCTGGCATGCGTGCGGCCTGGGTTCGATCCCCAGCAACACATACAAACAAAGATGTTGTGTCCACCGAATACTAAAAAATAAATATTAAAAAATTATTAAAAAAAAAAAAAGAAATGACCCTAGAGCCGGGCGCCATGGTGCACACCTGTAATCCCAGCAGCTCAGGAGGCTGAGGCAGGAGGATCACAAGTTCAAAGCCAGCCTCAGCAAAAGTGAGGCAATAAGCAACTCAGTGAGACCGTGTCTCTAAATAAAATACAAAATAGGGCTGCGGCTCAGTGGTCCAGTGCCACCCCCGACCACCGAGGGCAGCCAAACTAAGGGTCTCTCGAGTGAATTTTCTAGGGCACCAGATTAAACACAGACACTCAATCTACCTTTGATTCAAGCCCCAGGATAGCTCCTCTGTCCTCAGCCTCAAGCCCTCCAAATGGGAGAGCGAGGAATGTCATGAGAGGCTGGCAAGAGAGAGCTAGCACGTTCAGGAGTGGACTTTTATTGGGGGAACTCTCATTCTTTAGAAATTTCCATCCAAAAAAGGTCAAGAGGGACAGGGTTACAAGGACATGTAAGGTAATTCAACCCCTGGGGATATAGGAAGGCACACCTACGCATGAAGACACATTTTGCGACATTCTGCGACTTCAGGGATCAGGGAAGCCATCTAGGGCCGCTTTGATGTGGCCAGATCCCTGGAAGTGACCAACAGAGCCTTAACCGATCAGGGAAGGAAAATGCTGGTCACTCAGAGCGACCACCTCCCACAGTCCAGTGCCCCTGAGTTCAATCTCTGGTACCCCAAAGGCGGGAAAAAACCTAGAAATTTAATTTTTATTGTTGCTATTGTTTAATCCATTTTTAACTTTTACGTGATTATGAAAAATTTCAAACATACACAAAACAGATGGACTGAGGGTGCAGCTCAGCGGTAGCGCACTTGCCTAGCACGTGAAGGTCCTGGGTTCAATATCCAACACCACAGAGGAAAGACTATTTTACTGGGTGTGGTGGCACATGCCTGTAGTCCCAGCTACTGGGGAAGCTGAGAAGCAGCATCCAGGAGTGTGAGTCCAGCAGCATCCAGGAGTGTGAGTCCAGCAACATAGCAACACAGTGAGACCCTGTCCAAAAAAAAAAAAAAAAAAGTTAAGCATGTGAAAAATAGAGCAATGCAATTCCATATACTCATCACTGAGATTCAACAAATCTGCCACAGATTTTATCTATTTTCCCCTTTACTGAAGGTAGTTGTTCTTGTTTTTTGTTTTTTGTTTTCTACTGGGGATTTAACCGAGGGGCACTTAACCACTGAGCCACATCCTCATCCCTTTTTTGTATTTTATTTAGAAACAGGGTCTCCCTAAGTTGCTTAGGGCCTCAATAAGTTGTTAAGGCTGGCTTTGAACTTGCAGTCTTCCTGTCTCAGCCTCCCAAATCCCTGGGATCACAGGTGTGCACTACCTGGCTCACCCCTACATAAATTCTCATGAATCTCTGAAGCATACAGATATTTTCTCCCAGAAGTACCTTCATGTAAGGGTAAGATATCATCATACCTTAGCATTCAAAAATTCTGAGACATGATAACGATACTAGACACTCAATAACTGTTTCAAAAAACATCTCTTTTTATGACTAATGTATTTAATTAGACTTCAGAAAAGCCTGAACATTGCATTTTAAGAGCATGTTAAAATGGATTACATGTCTGTAATCCCAGCAACTTGGGAGGCTGAGGCAGGAGGATTACAAGTTTGAGACTAACCTCAGCAATTTAGTAAGGCCCTAAGGACTTAGCAAGACCCTGTCTTAAAACAAAAAAATAAAAAGGGCTGGGAATGTTGCTCAGTGGTTAAGCGCCCCTGGGTTCAATCTCTGGTACCAAAAAGAAGAAGAAGGAGGGGAGGGGAAAGAGGAGGAGGAGGAGGAGGAGGAAGAGGAGGAGGAGGAGGAGGAGGAAGAGGAGGAGGAGGAGGAAGAGGAGGAGGAGGAGGAGGAAGAGGAGGAGGAGGAGGACAGAGAATGTTAAGGGTCTAAATCTTTTTTTTCTCCATTTCCCATTGTCTCCTGTCCCCCAAAGCTTGTTTGTATTCCATCAACTTGTTACAGAAATGGTGTTTTAAGATTTCAAAAAAAAAATCATGCATATATTGAATAACATCTCAGTATAAAAAGTACCCATAAGGGCTGGGGTTGTGGCTCAGTGGTAGAGTGCTTGCCTAGCATGTGCAAGGCACTGGGTTTGATTCTTGGCACTACATCTCAATAAATTAAATAAAAGTCCATCAGCAACTAAGATTTTTTTAAAAGTACCCATAAGCTTTTACATCATAAATAGGGATTTTATAGCATCTCTAGACTCTAAGAATGGATTCCTCCATATGACATGCTCAGCTTTTACATCCTTGATTTCTATAATATGGAAGAAATAAATGCACAGCCTGTAGTGCAGAAATGTTCCAACTAAAAAATTGGCTTCATATAGGAGGTGTCCAGGAAGTGGAGAACAAAGGGAAAGAA